TAGGCCCGCAGGTCCCTCCTGGATACGGCCCGTGCGTATGTGCACGTGTGCGTGAGCGCGTGCGTGCTCATGGGCATAGACCCGAGTTCACATATATCTCACCGCAGCTCCCAGCCACGCGACTCAAGAGAGGACTGGTCTCCGTCTGTGCAGGCCATCGGTTTCCAGAAGTCTCCAACGCTGTGAGGAATCTAAGAGTCAGCAACTGCTCGCTCACATACTCAGGAACTGACCTTAATTAGAAAAAGTGCTGGAGCTGCTGTGACCGGCCTGGTGTATTTATTCTCGTTGGGGCTCAATTTTTTAATTTTTTTTTCCGGTAGCCTGGCCCCTAGTCCCCTCTCCTTTAATGGTAGCACACTAATCTTCCAGCCCACATCATAGGCATAGCAGAATCTCCCCACGCTTTGTCAGAGAGGTGGGCACATGACCTGAGCCAACCAATCAGAATCTCCTCAGGCCCAGCGCGTGTGAGGGGGCGGGGTGGTGGTGGCAGAGGATGTAGTAGGTGTTCCCCAGCATCTTTTGTCCAGGTGTGAGCATCTGTGGAGAGTGGGGTCTGTGCTGCCGCTTAGGGGCCCTGAGGGCCTGACTTCTCCGTTCTGTCCTGGATCCCGGGGCCAGTGTGGTGTTTGAAGACGGGGGCTGATCCAGAGGGGGCGGGGGGAGGTGTCAAGTGTTGCTCTCTTCCTGTACTCGCTGTTATCTGTGACTGCTGGGATTGTAGCATAAGGGAGAGTTGTCTGGGTCACAGCTGCTGGCAGTTTCTTCGGAAATTTCGGCTACGTCTTGTAAACCAACAGGAACTTAGAAATGTTACATTTCCTAAAGAGGGAGACCAGTTATTGTTATCCCAATCAATTATTCTTTCAAACACAGCATAATAAACAACCCACCCTCAATCTTTATGTTGCTCTTCCTGTTTGTTTTTTTTTTTTTTCATATGCCCACATTGCCTTAAAATGGAAATGAGGGGAGAATGTTCAAATGTATGTGTTTTAACAGATTGTGGGTTTCTATGTTAGCCTTGCATTCTGTATTTGAAATTTTAAACCATCGCTTATGTCCTTGTAAGCTTATGTCTTTATCTTCCGTGCATGAACGTTTGTTTGCCTGTATGTTTGTCTGTGCACCAGGTGTGTGTGGTGCCCACAGAGGCCAGAAGAGGGCGTCAGATCCCCTGGAATTAGGATTTCAGGTGGTTCAAGCTGCCACATGGTGCTGGGAATCAAACCTGGGTCCCTGGAAATGCAGCCAGTGCTCTTAACCATTGAGATAGCTCTCCAGCCCTTTTTGCTTATTTTTAAAAGTAATTTTTAAATTCTGTGTACTCTGGTGTTTTGTCTACATGAATGTATGAGGGTATCAAACCTTGGAGTTACAGACAGTTGTGAACCACCATGTGAGTGCTGGTAACTGAACCCAGGTCCTCTGGAAGAGCATTCAGTGCTCTCAACCTCTGAACCACCTCTCCAGCCCCCTTCTTGTGTTCAAAACTAGAAAAATATGCTCAGTGAAAATTTCAGATAATGCAAAAGTCAAAATTTAAGAAGAAAAGTAAAAGAGTCACTAGCTCCCATCTCAAGGTAACAGTGTGAGGGTTCATTGTTAAAAACGGGTGTAGACATATCTTTCACTTTTCAGTGACCACGAGGTGATGTTTTCCAATAGTCTTGCAGCAAGTTGGTGTCTTTTTTTCTCTGTTGTCACTGCCATTCTTTCCCCACACGGAAACAGATAACAATTTTAAGTTTTATTTTATTTAGCGTGTGTATGTGTATGTGTATCTCTGTGTGTGTGCATGTTCCTGTGAGCATGAATGCAAGGGCGCACATGTGGGGACAACTTCTCTCCCTCTACCATGGTATCTGGTGCCCTAACTCAGGTTGTCAGGTTTGTGTGGCTAGCACTTTTTCCCACTGAGCCATCTTGCTGGCCTAACTTCATCCTTCCTTAGGATCCAGGTACTTGGTTGCATAAGAAAATACCATCCTATATCAGTGAATCCCCTATTTGTGAACCTTTTTATAGCTTTTCTTGTTTTGTTTTGTTTTCTGATCATAAACAATACAACTATTAGGAGGCACAATAGAGAGATATCAGATGCTCTGTATCCCCGGCGGGCCTAGAGCTCTTTATGTACCACAAGCCTCAAGCTAAGAGTAACCCTCCTGCCTTAGCTTTCTGGGTGCTGGAATTACAAGTATGAGACACCATAGATTTCCTTCTGACTTCATTTGCATCTGCCTGGTTTTTAGAGCCTATGTCGGCCCTTTATAACTGCTTCCCCACAATGTCATGTTGAGTGACTAAAAGGAAACACAGAGTTTCTCGAAAGGAGCTGCTACCTAGCTAAAGGGAAATGTTCCCTGTAGCGGGTCTTTGCTACCTTTGTTGGTTCTTCCTTTTCTCACCCTTTATTCCCCTAACTTCATCCCCTATCACTAGATAGAGGCGAAGGAAGGAGAAAGGAGAGAGAGAGAGATCCCTGAATCTAATTTCTTCTTTAATCGGGGACCACTAACAAACCTCAGCCAACCACCTGAATGAAGAACCACCCACCACACCCGTCAGGGTGTTAGCATTTAAATAACCTCTGAAAATTTCCCAGAAATCAAAACATCACACAGTCCTAGAAACTATCTGCAGCTGGCAAAGCCAGGCCTTTGCTAGAGCACGAGGTAAATCACAGTCAGCTGCTATGAAGCAGCCCCATTTCCCCACATCTGGGGTTAGAATGAAAACACATTCGTATAATACTGCTGTTTTTAAAGAAACTAAAATCCTGGTATTGTCACTACAGTTTCCTGCTGGCCCCTCAGTGATGTTTGGATTTGGATTTTAACGTCTGTGATGAAATTGTCCCCGTGTACAGCCTGAGACCTTTGCACAGGCAGTAACTGGGAGTCATAGTTTTAGGAGATTAACTTGGTGACTGGGAGATAAGAATGAGCAATAAACGACAGAGGCCAACTGAGAAGAAAGCAGGTGTTTATTGAGCTCTTGGACAAATAGTTCTGGAGCCGGGAGATTCGTTCACTGAATTCACACAATCCTGGGAGGCAGGTGAAATTGTCTCCATTTTATAGATGATGACACCGAGGCTCAGTTAGTTAAACAGCATGCCGAAGTCACTCAGCTAATGAACAGCCGGGCTGAGATGTGACCCCAAGATTAAAAATCTAGAGCTTGGGGTGGATTTTAGCCAAATTTTAAGAACGAATATTTAAAAATAATAGGTACACCTTAGTGGCACCGTGTAGTTAGAATCAAGAACTCCCAGATCTTCCCTGTCAGTACTTGTGGGTCTAGAGCCATGTGTTGGGCAGTGCGTGGTGTGGGCTACCCACAATGGGGCAGGTTCTACACAGTTTGGGGCTAGCCGTTACCAGATCTTAGTGGAAGCCACAGAGAGGAGGTGTTACAATGGAATGATGGATGGGAACAGGGAAAAGACAAACAACTGGCCGAGACTGGATCTTGGGCACTTCCCAGGTGGACATGAGAAAAATAAAATAAAATAAAAACAGTCAATGAAGGAGGCTCTGGACAGGGGGAGTGGCTCGGTTCACCAAGTGCTCTCCAGGGAACCTTCAGGTGGGCATCCTTAGAGCCCAGGTCTCCTTTCCAGCCATTGCAGCTGTTCGAGCCAGGACGCTGGGGCAGGGGGAAAGGGAAGGCTGGTACCCACGGGGCTGATTCCCTCATCCTCCATCCTCACCCTTTTTGCCCTTTAGGACAAAACCAGATGAGAACCAGTAAGGGGTGTGCAGCCCAGCTGTGGCCACGCCTGCAGGGCTGAGCCTCACGGCTGCAAACCTGGGGCGGGGATGGGGGGGTTTAGGCTTGGCGGAGTGCCAAAGAAGATCTGGCTTTCTGGGGAACAACGGTGAGGTGAACCACAGTAGGTTCCCCGAGCCCCACCCCTCCGTCGTTCCTCGCCCTCCCCTCAGCAAAGGAAAGCAGTGAGAAACGTGTTTTTATAAATAGCTCCGGCCCCAGCTGATTTGTAAATTCAGTGGGTTTTTTTGTGTTGTGTGTGTGTGTGCGCGCGCGTGTGTGTCAATGACATCACCCTCCTCCCCATGGCAACCCCCGACGATATCAAAATTGCCAGGCAACGTTGGAGCTGCTCGCGCCCTAAAGGAGCAGGTCTCCGCCTGAGGAGCTAATGGAGAAATCCCAAAGTGAGCTGGGGTGCACGCTGGAGGAGGGGTGCACCGCGGCCGGGGGTGCTGGGCCCTGATTGATTCGCCAGAGGAAGGCGGGAGCGGATGCCTCTTGCCCCGCAGCCTGGAGACGCGGGTGAGGGGGGGGAGGTGGCTCCACGCCAGCTCCTCCTGCCAGCAGCCGCGGACCACAGCAGGTGGGGGGAGGGCCGCTGCTCCGTTCCTGACGTTCCTGACGGAGCCGGGAGCAGCCAGCAGCTCTCCAGGTGACTAAGCCGGCCCACCGCCTCTGAGTCAGCCACCCGCCCTGGCTTTTCTTCCTTCCCCCCCTTTGCCATCTGATTTATTTGGGGAGCTGGAAAACTTGGAGGTGTACCTGAGGCCCGCCCCTTCTAACTCTCCCCTCCCTACCTCGGCCTGGAGGAAGATGGAACTCTCTGGGAGGCTGCCACTACCCTCTAAGGACATGGAAGGCACCGAGGGAGCCAGAGGTGCCCAGGGAGAGACGGCAGCTGGCAGAATACAATAGCAGACATGGTGAACGGGCTGCCTGTGTGTCTTCTGAAGGTTCTGGGAGAAAAGGGGAGTCTGGTCCGCACCAACCGGAGTCCTTCTGGGCTGGTTTTGAGCTCACCTCTCAAGGGGATCTTTCTGTGAAAACGCGTGGCTTCCAGGGTCACTGGTATTTGGAGAACAAGGCTGGATTGGCATAGGCAGGCCTGTGCAGGTAGGTGGCTCTGTACTGGGTGTGGACCCACGTGTGTGTGTGTGTGAGAGAGGGTGAGGGCGTGTCACAGGGTGTGCGCACAGCCAGATCTGAGGACCGGCGGCTGGTCAGCAGAGCGCTGGGGAGGAGGACTTGAGAGCAGTTGATCCTGACCGATGCTGGGGAGGGCTTGGGCTTGAATGCATGCTGGGGAGAAGGATCACCAAACACATGGCCTGAGCAGACTGAAGAACAGCTGCCTGCTCGGGCAGGCCCAAGCCCTTGCTGGGTCCACAGGACGGAGGCATGCCAGATGCCAAGGTAGGAAGTGGTCCTGAGGCCCGGCCATGTGCAGCAACTAAACTTACAAGGTGTGGGGGCTAGCTGCAGGTCCACCGCTCTGCCTTCCGGACAGGCCCTAGGGCGCTCAGGGAACACCTTCCTACCAAGATCTTGTCACTCTCCCATGCGGAGCTGGTCAGCGCCCATGTATGTCCCCTGCTGAACTCAGACACATTCGGTGAGCCAGCTACAGTCTGGGGCTCAGCTGGGGGCCACCCCGAAACCCCATTCCAGGCATGCCTCAAAGTGTCAGGAGGCAGAGGGGTATAGGCCCCCTTCCTCCCCACCCCCAACCCCCACTGGCAGGCTTTTGGGCACACCGGTGAGTAAGCTGCCGCAGGCAGGGAGGTTGTGCCCACGGAGACAAGATGACACCCATCAGGGACCTTCCGGAGAAAGGAGGCTGAAGGAGAAAATCACTGAGGTTTTCCTTTTTCTTCTTTTTTTTTTTTTTTTTCTTTTTGCCTCAAGGTAGAAGCAGCTTTCCAGGCTCCCGACAAGCACTGGCCTGCAGTGGGAGAGGGTGAGGCCCAGCTTCCAGAAAGAGCACCAAGGTAAGATCTCCACTATGGCAGCAGCCTTGGGTTCTTGAGCTGGGGACGGGGTATCCATCCGTGGAGGTATCCACTCCTCGCCTAGGCCAGAGAAGCTCACGCCATGCCACAAAAAAAGCTGTGAGGTCCTGGACTGAAGATTCCTGAGCTGCCTGACTCTTTGCCAGCCCCTCTTCAGTAGATTTTGAAACAGCTCTGTGGAAACCAGCTTCGGCCTCCCAGGCTTGTTTCTGCAGTGCTTGCATTTGCTTCCTGTTCCTACCAGACCAAGCCAGGGCCACCAGGACTCCTCCCAAGAAGCCCTTCTCACCTGCCCCTGGTGTAGTCATTTCACAAATATTTATGGTGCGTCCTCTGCCTGCTGGCTTCCTCCCCTTCCCTGAACTTAACCCGGCTCTAAAAGTCAGTGTGAGGCCAGGGCCAGGGGCCTGCGCTGGGACACGCCATTGTTTCCCTTAATCTTCATTGAGCTCTCAGCCTCTGCTCAGAGGCTTAGCTCTCCTTAGCTGGTGGGCGCCCATCAGGCCCCACGAACTCAGGTTCATGCTCCAGGGAGCAAGGCTAATGCAGTGCAGCCTCTGGTGTGGAATGCCAAGGTCAGAGGAGTCTGCGTTTCTTCTGGGTTTGTGTGTTGGGGTGGGGGAGGTTGTCTTTCCCTAAGTTGGTTCTGATGGAAACTGAGTCCCCAGGGTGGGCTTGGGAGCTCACCTAGTTAAGATTGAGGTTTGGCTTTTGGGCCAAGAAGGTTCCCCCTTCTACAGGCAGTTTTACCCACATTTTTTTTTCTGGTGGTAAGTCCTGGAATCTAATGGCGAGTTGGCACCAAGAGCAAAAAACCCTTCTGCAAGTATCTGACTTGGGTGGAAACTCTGAGTCCCTGCAGGGCATATAGGATGGCATAACCTTTCTGGTGACCCTTCCCCTCCCCCCCATACATTGAATGTGCATTTGGGATTTGCCAGGCACAGGGAAGGCACAGGCCAGGGTGGCTCCAGCATGCTCTATGTATCATTCAACACTACCCTGTCCCGGGAGAGAGGGCACATAGGACCGCAGTCAGGAGGAGACTACCAGGCTACAGAAGGGCTTCTTCTTCCTCTCAGGAGGTGACTCTTAACCTTGGGAGCCTCCAGGTCTGCAGAGCTGAGCGGAAGCCAGGACCCAGCTGGGGACAGAGTGGCGAGTACCCAAGCAAACAGCGGTCCAATAGGGAGGCAGCTGGCTTGGCCAGGAGGAAGCCTAGGGTAGAAGCCAGGCCCCTGGGAGATGGAAAGGCTGCTGGGGGCTTCCGAAGGTTCAGTGAAGCCTCTGGGCTGGTTTCTGACCATATTCGTCTCCGTGGGAGTTTCTTGGCACAGGGCACTGCAGAGCCAGTCGAGGAAGAGACCAAGACACTAGAAGATGACATTCCTTACCACGCGGCCCAGAGGTGCCTCCAGGTGCCTGCAGGATGTCTCCCTTGCAGAAGGCAGAAAAGGCTCCTGAGAGACCTGTGGCTGAAGACCCAGCAGGCGAGCGGGTGGTCAGACGGGGTGGTACTGAGGCCCCACAAACCTCACTGTCGGGCATTTCGTAGCCAGCCTTAGCAGGGCTGAAAAGAAAATCATGTCTTTGAGTCTCCTGGTAGAAGCAAGGCTAGCCAGCAGCTTGGGACACAGCCTAGAAAATGGAAAGTTTTCAATCGAGGTTGGCCCTCCTGAGTGCGTGGACTATGTTCCTGACTCCACCTCTTTTATAACTTAGACTCTGGGTCCAGGAAGCCATACACTGAGAATGGGGCCAATGAGATGAAGGAGGCTTTGTCTTCCCTGGCGTCGAAGCCTGTTCTGTGTTACTACAACATAGTATGCACATCTTGGTAATTCACACACAATGGAGCTTTATTTGTATCAGAGTTCCGGGAGGCCAGGAAGTTCACGGTCAAAGGGCCCGCACTGAGCCAATGCGAAAGCCTTTGTGCTGACTGAGTCATTGCATGGCAGAAGGCAGAAAGGCAAGAGGGCTGAACTCCCTTCTGCGGTAAACTGTGATAAGGACAGTGATCCCCCTGTGAGAGTGGTACCCTGGCGACCCAAACACCTCTCAACCCTGTTGCATTGGGTTCCCAATAGACGGTGGCACCTGGTGCGCTGTGAGATGCAGAAAGCCTGTGGCTCTGCTCACTGGCTTGCCTCTAGTGATTGCCTGGCTACTAAGTAACGAAGAGGGAGTGGGACAGAGATAAACAAGACAGAGATCTGGGCCTGGGGAAGCTGGCCACCAGGAGAGGGATGAAGAGGGAAGCTGAGCCTGGCTGGGGTCAAGGCCACCAGAAACCAGCTGAGCCACAGAGCCGGGTTATGATTGGGTGGCTTCGTCCTTATGCCTTCGCTGAGCCCTGGTCTGATCCCTGAAGTCACCCATGTCTCATCCCGTCCAAATAATTTATGAATTCCAACCAGTCCTGAACTAGAACTTCATAAAAATGTACCTTCCCCCCCACACACACACACACAAATTCCCTACGTTCTGAGTAAAAAGTACAGGTGGAAGCAACTCCTATCTCTAGGTCCAGCAGAGTGTTCAGGGGTAAGTCAGCCAGGGCAGGACCACAGTCACCATGCAGAGTGTGTGTCAGCCTGCATGGCTGCTTCTGGTAACCATGTCTCTCCGGCTCAGTCTCCTCTCCCAACCCACTGCTGAGGGGTAACTATGATACTTTGGAAACTGCTGAGACTATCAGAGGATCAAGGTGCTGGGAAGAAGAGACCCAGGAGAGGATGGCTGGGTGTCTGTGGAAGATTCTCCCCCAGAAAGAAGCCAAAGCATCACAATGCTGATGGATCCAGGCCCCAAAAAGCGAGGGAGAATAGCAATACCAGATCCATTTGTCCCATAGAGCAAATTACCTACTGTCCCCTGGGCTACTGATAACAGTTCCTTCTGAGGTCCGGAGTTCAGGGTCCTGATCATTTGGACGGGGCTCTTAGATGGAGAAGAGGTGTGACTGTCTGGTGCTGCTTCTGCCTGAGCCTAACATCTTTTCTCACATGGTGGCTGCAGTTCTTAAGGAGCTATGTCCTTACCATCTCCATCAGAAGCTCCTTCCAAAGCTTGGAAGGCTCCGTGCAGATGAGACTGCTGAGATGAAAGACTTGGGGATGCTCAACGCTAAGACCTTTTAAAACTTTTTCTACCAAATGGTTGTATGTCCTAGTAATTGAGAAAAGGTACCCCCATCCTTTGATTTCATCTAGAAACAAAGACAAACCCAGAACATGAGAAGTTCTTTTGTTAAGCTGGGAGAAATCATATAGATTCCCTCTCTGGGCTAGAGGCCACAGGACCTTGGCCCCAGCAAGGGGACCAGGAACACTCACACTGCTCAGTAATGTCTATAAAAGCTCATTATAGCATTAGTGCAGTTCGGAGACCCAAGTATTTACAGAGGGATGCTGATGACCGCTTTTGGACAATCAGGACTCCTCTGGGGCACACGATTCTATCGCCCTGTTTAACCAGCAAATGAGACAGCGCTGTCCTGGGGGTGCTCTGCTTTTGTCTCCTAGGGCCCCAGACCTCTGGATGAGGGGGAAGCACAGTGGCTGTGTCCTTCCTCACTGCAAGCTACCCAAAGCTTGCACGGGGTTTCCCTGAGTGCTTGGAGAGGAAATTAGGCGCGGAAACCTTCGTTCTGCCTCTGAACTCGGTGCAGCGGGGCCCAGCTTACTGTCCCCCAGGGAAAATAGCAACAAACCAGTCACCTTGCTCAATGCTATCTGCATGGCACCTGGACTCCCAAAAGCTATGGCATCAGCAGAGTGGAAACTGGGAGGACTGGTTCTGTAGTTTGGTCTCCTGACCTGGAGCATCTCCAGCTCCATTTTCTTTCTTTTGGCTTCCAATGAGGCATCATGTGGAATTGTACAAGAGGGTACCGAGGTAGAAGGAGCTAGGGGACCAGTTAGACTACAGCTCTTCGGCCAGAGTCCAAGTCGCCCTGGGGAGAAAAGGCTATCCGTAAAAGAGCGGGCCCTCTTTAGATGCTGCAGGACCTTCAAGACAAAGGACAATGTTTAATCCAACTCTCATTGATTTATAGAGGAAAACAAGCACGGAGAGAAAAGGGTGGGTTCTGAGGTCACCCAGCTAACTAGAAGCCCCGCCCTTGGCCAGCAGGCAGGAATGGCTGGTAGCCTGATAATTTTGAGGGAGGTGCTTTGGCCTGACAGTGGGAGGCTGGACAGGTCGCTGCTCCTGCTCTGTGCATGCTGTTCTCACAGGGGCCTGCGCTCCGCCATCTCACCCCGAATTCTGCTCGACACGGTGCCTCAGTGTGGCCTGCGTTTATTAACCAAGTACTCCCCAAGGACAGACATCGTTCCTAGGCACTGCACTAGGCCGCTGGCCAATAAACAAATCTAACTCGTTTGTAATTGGATTGACTCAAGAGCTGTGTGTCCCAGGTTATCGAAGGCTGTGAAAGCCTCAGGCCACGAAGGGGGCAATGATGCCAGTATCTGGAATTGAGAGCATATGAGCAGAGGGGAGGGGAGGCATATCGAGGAGGGGGTACCTCAGACCACCTTTTCACCAGTATATATTTACTTTCTAGCAAGGAGCGTGTGTGTGTGTGTGTGTGTGTGTGTGTGTGTGTGTGTGTGTGTCTGTCTTTCTGTCTGCGTGTTATATGATGGTGTGCCCAACATTATATGATGGTGTGCCCAACAGTGTGGACCCATGAGAAGGCTTGACATCACGGTCTTCCTTAATTACTTCTATACATTAGTTTTTTGTTTGTTTGTTTGTCTGTTTTCTAGAAATTTAGTTTTGCATATGTGTGTGCCTGTGTATGTGGATGCCACGTGTGTGAGCAGGCCAGAAGAGGGTAGTGGGTCCCCTGGAGCTGGACTTACAGGCAGTAGTGAGCCATCTGATGCGCGTGCTGGGAGCTGAACTTGGATCCTCTGGAAAGGCAGAAAGAACTCTAAAGTGCTGAGTCATCTCCCCAGCCCCCTCGC